CAAAAGATGACGAGACACTACAGCTGGGAGACACTACCACAGACATTAGAAACACAAATTCTGTTATGTAAAAGAAACAAATCACTGGGCACCAACATATTCTAAAGAAAAACTCCTTATAATTCACCTGCCTCTGCATTCATTGTACACTCACTAAAACTGCCTTCTAGCTATTAATTTTACAATAATAGGAAGGTTTATCTGAATGAGGGAATTGAATATTCCAGTTAATGGTAAAGAATATTACTTTTAAATTAATGCATCTACCTTAATTTATTCCTCAGTCTTCCATAAGTTAAAATGAATACGTTGTTCTTAATCCAGGCAACAGAAAGTACCTTGACAAAGATATAATTATAGACATGCAAATTAAGTATCACATGTTGAACCTTAGGAAAAAATGTATGAAAATGTTGTCAAGCACTGAGACCTCCCAACAATCTCTATTGGTAAAGCAAACTCATCATTACCCTCTTTGTCACAACTGCATAGCTTATTCAATTTTCATAAACTGAACCTACCTATTTAACCAGCATACAGATCAATATATAGCATTTCAGTAACTAATACACCCACTTCCAGTCAATAACCCCCTGATAAGGGTTTATGTTACTATTACATAGTTTTGCCTGGTTTTGATGCTTATAGCAACAAAATTATATAGTGCCTTATCTTTTGTGTTTGACTTTTTTCAGTCAACATTATATTTGTAAGATTCATCCGTACAGTTGTCTGTAGTTGTTCATTCTTATTACTGTATAGTAGTATTTCATTCTATACTATATCACAATGTATTAACCAATTGTCCTGTCAATGTACTTTCAGACAGTTTCTGATTTGGAACTAATACAAATAGTGCTATCAGCATGTTTTAAGATATATTTTTAGAAGTAGAGGGGCTATGTGTGCGTGTGATCAGCTTTAGTAGTATTGCCAAAAACTGGTCTTTTGAGGAGTTGTACTAGCTTCCCTTTTACAAGCAATGTGAATTATAATTACTACCTATCTTCATCAGTGCTTTATTATCCTCTTTTAATCTACAATAAATAGTATGTCCCTGTGTGTTTACCTAGTAAATTGATCTCCTACAAATATTTTTAAATAAAAATGTTATCAACTAAGTACATAATTTGTTGCATCAAATGTTGCATTAAATTGCCATTGCTATATGAGCTGTTATGTATTACAATCAATGATGCAGAGGTTTGGGTAAAAATTTGTATTCTAACTAATCACTGGCAAACAGCATCTTACAACAATAACTTCCTGTCAGTTAGAGCCTTAAGGCAAAATGGAAAATTTAGAAACTTCATTCATTTCTTCTAAACAAAAGAAAGAAATAATTTTTACCATACTTTAAAATATGAAACTCACTTATTCAAAAAGAAAGTTCAGGAAATTTGATTAGAAAATTTAAAAGTCCCTAATGAAAATTCCTTTCCAGCTTGACAGTGATTAAAAGAATATCATCATTCAGAACATAGCTGTCCATGAATGAAAAATTCTTGTCTCTGAGAAAGAATGTTGAAGCCAATTATGCAAATACGCAGAAGGGAGAAAGACGAGATTTTAAACCTCTTAATATGACCGAAGAGCACATTTTCAAACCAAACTCAGCTTTTAGGCTTTTATTCTATAAATATATAAATCTTAAAAAGAAAGACAAAACAAAAAAAAAATATGTACACACCAATTTTCTGATGTTAATCTAAGACAACTGTGACCCCTACTGTCCACATGTGTTTGCACATTTAAATTCTCAAGGCAAATTTCAGCATGGTTACTGAATATTCTTTGAGATTCTGGTTTAAAAGGCTGCTAGACTAACAGCCAATGCAAGATCTAAAAATATGCCTCTAATTCTGAAGACAGGGACAATTCATTAAAATTTAAAGGAAGTGTATATATGTCAGCATGTAATAGCTCTACTTTTCCTTCAATCTTTCATTCAGACTAGTCAGGGGCATTGCACCTGTCCCTCTCATGCCCTCATTTGTGTACAGCTAACATTTTAATATGAAAAGAGTGTCCTGATACATTCAGTTTAAAGGAATATATTGAGAAAGGTTGTCTCACAGCAACCACAACCCCTATTTTGATTGGTTGTTTAGGTTTCTTGGTTCAAACTCAGGAGTTAATACAAGTTGTTCCATGTACAGAAAGGTGCACTTACAGGTAGATTAAGTATATTAGTAGGTTTGCAGGATACCTGGGTGGGACTTTTATGTGACATTCAGTGAGAAAGGTTAACTGGACATCTCATCACACCAAAGCAATGTTTACTTCCATGTGCAGTTTGAGATGAAGGGTGTGGAAAAACGGAATTGATATTTAGTGAGCATCTTCTATTTAATAGTCACCATGCTAAGGGCTTTATACTTATTTTCTTAAGTTAATATTTGGAGCTTTATGAGCTATTGATTATTATGTCACTGTCAGAAAATCTGAGCAAATTGCCTAAGGTTACACAGGGATTAAGTGGAAGAGCCAGGATTCAAACCCAAATCTACCTGGTTCCAAAGCGCAGGCTCTCACATTAAACGATTCTGCCCTTCACATCCTATTATATTTAAGATTCAGAAAACAGCACAGAAAAACAGGGTGAAAAAAGCCATTTCTTCAAAGATCAATAGAACATGTTTTTCTAACTCTATGAATTAAAGTCAATAAATACTTATTTATTGCCACTATGTAGCTAAAACATTGCCTTATTCTAAAGAGAAATCAAAGGACCTTTTAACATCAAAAGTACATGTAAAGAACAAAGGTAGGTAAGTCCCAAAGGACCTAGACAAAAATAAGTAAGTCCCAAAGAGGGGAAATGCTTAATAAACACTTGAAAATGTGTTTAGCTCTTATCATTAAAAGATATACATTAAAACAATAAGGGGATAACAGTTTTCATTTTTCACATTGGCTAAAATTAACATTTTGCCCTAGTAAGTATTTGTGAGGATATACAATATGGAAATTGATTGTGCCTTATCCTCTATGGTAGTTTAACCTTCTGGATGTCCTGTCTCATGCCTATAATCCCACCATTTTGGGAGGCTGAGGCAGGAGGATCACTTGAGGCCAGGGGTTTGAGGCTACAGTGAGCTATGATCCTATTACTGCATCCAGCCTGGGTGACAGAGTGAGACCCCATCTTTTTAAAAATAATTAAATAAAAATAAATAAATAAATACATAAAATGGTTCAACCTGTTATAAGTTGGGGTCAATTTAGTAAAGTCTAATAAAATTGAAGAGGAATATATCCCATGATCCAGCAGTTTTATTTCTGATAACATAGCCTCAGAGAAATATAGTACCTTGTACAGAATATATATATATTCTTTGCAGCATTATTTTATTCACACACACACACGCACGCATACATACACTTTTTTTTTTTTTTTTTGAAGCAAGGTATCGCTTTGTCACCCAAGCTGAAGTGCGGTGGCACAACCTCAATCTCCTAGTCTCAAGCGATCCTCCTGCCTCAGCCTCCTAAGTAGCTGGTACTACAGGTATGTACCACTACACCTGGCTAGTTTTTTTCTTTTTTTTTTTTTATTTTATTTTTCATAGAGACAGGGTCTCACTATATTGCCCAGGTTGTTCTTGAACTCCTAGCCTCAAGCAGTTCTTCTCCCTTGGCCTCCCAAAGTGCTGGAATTACAGGCATGAGCCACTGTGCTCAACCATTCTGATGCTATTATGTCTGAATTCCTGTCTCTATTTATTTTCTCCAGGTTATGGATCACTTTTTCTGCATATATTTTTTATATTATTGAATGCTAGATCTTTAAAACTTCTTCAAAAGGTATCCATTTTTTCTGGCAGGTAAGTTACTGAAGATCACTTTGATAATTTCAAGCCTTATTTTTAATATCTTTTTGGGGATCTCAAGAGAAGACTTCAGGATTAATTTAGTTGTTTTTTAAGTCATGACTATTCTGTAGTCTCTACTAAATGCCCCATGTGTTAAGATCTCTCTGCCTTGGCTGGTGAAAACTCAAATAACTCCCAGCCTTGTGTGAAACCTGAGAATTCTTCAGCTTTCAGTTCCTTAATAATTCTTCCCACAGAACTTGTTCTTGTCTGACCTCGTAGGGTTTTACCCTAGGCATGCTTGGATTTGTGTTTATCTATAGTTTCAATGGGTTCCCTACACAGTTTTCTGGTACTTTTTCTCTGTGAAGCTCTTTCCTATTGGGCACTATGCCCAAAAAAGTTCTGTTTAGGTTTTCCTTTTCTCCTCCATAGCCTGAAAATTACCTCTAGGCAGAAAGTCAAGCCTTTCTCTGTAGGGATACAACTGTCTTGTTTTTCTCTCTCAGGGATCATAGTCTCATGCTGCCTGCTTTCTAATGTATAAAAATGCTTGTTTGCTACAGGTTTTGCAGTTTTCTAATTTTTTTGTAATGGAAGACTCATTTTAAATCCTTTTACTCATTCATAGCCGAAAGCTAAAGTTGAATTTCATTTTTTTGCAATATGTAATAGAAAATGTGGGATCGCAGTGGGGTATTAATACTAGTGCATATTGATAGGTAAAATACAATGAACAGGTAGCATGTGATAAAGTATAAAGAAGACAGATAATTGCTAGAGCCAGTTCCTTACATGGGAAAAGGCAAGAGGATGCAGTTTGTGTAGAACAAGTGTGGTCTACGTTAGATAAAATCATGGACAGGACATTTTAAGTGTGAGAGTATAGAAAAGGAAGTATTCGAAGTCTGAGGGAAGAGAAAAAATTGTGAAATGGTTGTCCAGAAAAGTAGAAGAGTGAATTAACTGGGAAAAGAAAGTAGGGTTTCCAAACAGCAATTAAGGGCCAACCTGAGGTTAGTAGTCATGAATTTAAAATGAGAATAGAAATGCTGCATGTTTCCTACCAGTCATGTTTAGCACTGCAGCTGCAGACCCGAGGGAGACAAAGATTTTGATTTCAACGGGGCTAAAATTTTTCCTTGGCAATCTAGAATTATGTACTTTTCTATTTCATTTACTTACCTTTTAATTTATGTGTTCATTCCCTTGGTGCACATATTCATGGTGACTGTAATATAAAATACATTATCTCAGAGTTCAATCACACCATATCTTAAATTACTTCATTTGTGACTTTTCAACATTTAAGGATTGATAGCTATTCATTATGTACTGAAGCATACTCAAATCTCACCACTTGAAAATAATATTCCAAAGAATTGTATTACATAATTCTCTATTTTTTATTTTTTCAACCTGACCTGATTTGTCTCCAAGGGGGAAAATATCAATAAAATATACATACTTTGCTTTCTGATACTACCTTGATAGTTTAAACAAATCACTTAAAGCACATGATATCTGTTTTAAAGTTAGTGCAATTTTATTTTCAGGAAAATAAGATTCTTAGTCCATAGTAGAATATTATTATATTAAATATTTATAAAATATATTTTTTATTACTGCCTTGGCCACTTTTAACTGATTTATAGATAGCAGAAATTTACTATATAATCATTTTGAAAATATTAAGGGACACAACTACACCAATCCATGATTACATTACACATACTTTGAGTGTTATTCACTCATTTAAAAGTGATAATAACACAGCAGTTTCAAAGTTTTTCTCTCTTACTTCAGGCATGGAGGCATTTTATGGCTTATTTCTCAATTTAAGGATTCATCATTTGGGGGCAGGGGCTTCAAGTCACAAAAGTATGTTTATGCTCTCTGTATATCCTTAACTTTTAAACTTAGGATAGTATCTTTAAACTTTTAAACTTACAAAGTATCACCAATGCATGAATATATATTATTATATAATAAATCAGGACATGGACCAAATAGAAGATAAATTATTCTATAAATTGAAATCTTAGCAATATCCACAGTTTCTTCATAAATCATTTTTCTATTCTTCTAAAGTCATAAATTATAGAAATATAATGAATTTCTAAACTCTTCAAGGCCAAGACCTATGGTCTCAATAACAAAGAAATACTATTCTTCTTGGGGATACATTGTTTTCTCCAATGAAAATCAATCCTCTAATTCTTATTTTTTTTTCTATTTTTTTTCTTACTTTTCTTTATTTCTTCTTTAAAAAAATGGGATACATGTGCAGAACATGCAGGTTTGTTATACAGGTACACGTGTGCCATGGTGGTTTGCTGCACCTATTGACCTGTCCTCTAAGTTCCCTCCTCTCACCCTACACCCCCAACAGCCCCTGGTGTGTGTTGTTCCCCTCTCTGTGTCCCTATGTTCTCATTGTTCAACTCCCACTTATGAGTGAAAACATGCAGTGTTTGGTTTTCTGTTCCTGTGTTAGTTTGCTGAGGATGATGACTTCTAGCTTCATCCATGTCCCTGCAAAGGACATAATTTGATTCTTTTTTACAGCATAGTATTCCATGATGTATATGTACATTTTCTTCATCCACTCTATCATTGATGGGAATTTGGGTTGGTTGCCTTTGCTCTTGTAAATAGTGCTGCAATAAATATACATGTGTATGTGTCTTTATAGTAGAATGATTTATATTCCTTTGGGTATATACCCAGTAATGGGATTGCTGGGTCAAGTGGTATTTCTGGTTCTAGATCCTTGAGGAATTGCCTTACTGTCTTCCACAATGGTTGAACTAATTTACATTCCCACCAACAGTGTAAAAGGGTTCCTATTTCTCCACAGCCTCACCAGCATCTATTGTTTCCTGACTTTTTAAAATAATCGCCATTTTGACTGGTGAAAGATGGTATCTCGTTGTGGTCTTGATTTGCATTCCTCTGATATCAGTGATGTTGAGTTTTTTTTTCATGTTTGTTGACTGTATAAATGTCTTCTTTTCAGAAGTGTCTGTCCATATCCTTTGCCCTCTTTTTGATGGGTTTGTTCTTGTGTGTGTGTGTGTGTATATACATATATATTCAGATAAAAGAATATATATATATTTTGAGACAAGGTCTTGCTTTGTTGCCCAGGTTGGAGTGCAGTGGCTTGATCTCGGCTCACTGCAACTTCTGCCTCGTGGGTTCAAGCAATTCTCCCACCTCAACCTCCTGAGTAGCTGGGATTACAAGTGCCCACCACCACACCTGGCTACTTTTTGTATTTTTAGTAGAGAAGAGGTTTCATCATGTTGACCAGGCTGGTCTAGAACTCCTGACCTCAAGTGATCCACCTGCCTCGGCCTTCCAAAGTGCTAGGATTACAGGTGTGAGCCACTGCGTCCAGCCTGTTGTGAATATTTTTTAAGTTCCTTGTAAATTCTGAATATTAGGCCTTTGTCAGATGGGTAAACTGCAAAAATTTTCTCCTATTCTGTAGGTTGCCCATTCACTCTGATGATAGTTTCTTTTGCTGTGCAGAAGCTCTTTAGTTTAGTTAGATACCATTTGTCAATTTTGGGTTTTGTTGCAATTGCTTTTGGTGTTTTTGCCAGGAAATCTTTGACCATGCCTGTGTCCTGAATGGAATTGCCTAGGTTTTCTTCTAGGAATTTTATGGTTTGGGGTTTTACATTTAAGTCTTTAATCCATCTTAAAACAAGGTGTAAGAAAGGGGTTGAGTTTCAGTTTTATGTATATGGCTAGCCAGTTTTCCCAGCACCATTACTGAATAGGATATCCTTTCCCCATTGTTTGTTTTTGTCAGGTTTGTTGAAAATCAGATGGTTGTAGATGTGTGGTGTCATTTCTGAGGTCTCTATTCTGCTTCATAGGTCTATATGTCTGTTTTTGTACTAGTACCATGCTGTTTTGGTTACTGTAGCCTTGTAGTATAGTTTGAAGTCAGGTAGTGTGATACCTTCAGCTTTGTTCTTTTTGCTTAGGATTTTCTTGCCTACACAGGGTCTTCTTTGAGTCCACATGGAGTTTAAAATAGTTTTTTTCTAATTCTGTATAGAATGTCAATGGTAGTTTGATGGGATAGCATTGAATCTATAAATTACTTTGGGCAGTATAGCCATTTTCACCATATTGATTCTTCCTATCAATGAGGGTCGAATGTTTTTCCATTTGTTTGTGTCAGAAAATCCTCTCAGAAAATCCTGATTTTCTTGAGCAGTGGTTTGTAATTCTCTTTGAAGAGGTCTTTCACATCCCTTGTTAGCTGTATTCCTAGGTATTTTATTCTCTTTGTAGCAATTTTGAATGAGAGTTCATTCATGCTTTGGCTCTCCGCTTGCCTATTGTTGGTGTAAAGGAATACTTATGAGTTTTGCACATTGATATTGTATCCTGAGACTTTCCTGAAGTTGCTTCTCAGTTCAAAAAGTTTTTGGGCTGGGATGATGGGGTTTTCTAAATAAAAAATCATGTCATCTACAAACAGAGACAACTTGACTTCCTCTCTTCTTATTTGAATACCCTTTATTTCTTTCTCTTGCCTGATTGCCCTGGCCAGAACTTCTAATACTATGTTGAATAGGAGTGGTGAGAGAGGGCATCCTTGTCTTGTACCGGTTTTCAAAGGGAATGCTTCCAGCTTTGACCCATTCAGTATGATATTGGCTGTGGGTTTGTCATAAATAGTTCTTATTATTTTGAGATATGTTCCATCAATACCTAGTTTATTGAGAGTTTTTAAAGTGAAGGGATGTTTAATTTTATCAAAGGTTTTTTTTTTTTTGCATCTATTGATATAATCATCTGGTTTTTGTCTTTAGTTATGTTTATGTGATGGATTATGTTTATTGATTTGCATATGTTGAACCAGCCTTGCATCCCAGGGATGAAGCCGACTTGATCATTGTGGATAAGTTTTTTGATGTGCTGTTGGATTCAGTTTCCCAGTATTTTATTGAGGATTTTTGCGTCGATGTTCATCAGGGATATTGGCCTGAAGTTTTCCTTTATCATTGTGTCTCTTTCCAGTTTTGCTATCAGGATGATGCTGACATCATAAAATGAGTTAGGAAGGAGTCCCTCCTTTTCAATTGTTTGGAATAGCTTCAGAAGAAGTGGTACCAACACCTCTTTCTATTTCTGGTAGAATTCAGCTATAAATCCATTTGGTCCTAGGCTTTTTTTGTGTGTGTGTGTGTGTGTGGTTGGTTGGTAGGCTATAAATTACTGCCTCAATTTCAGAGCTTGTTAGTTGTTTATTCAGGATCAATCCTCTAATTCTAAAGAACTACATAACTTAAGAGCTAGAAAAGGCCACTTCATTCTTTATGTAGTGTTTAGACTTTTATTGTTTTGACTGTCTTCCTACAAACATATTCAGTTTTGCAAAATGTTGCACTACAAAGTGGAAACAATTATTTAGAGAGGTTCTGACAAATACAATAAGACCAGTGGAATTATCATCTTCTTTGTACTGAACACATTACTTCAATCTAAATAATGCCTTGACTCTGACAACAACATCACAACATGGACTCATTTGTGGAAGGTGCTACCTATCTGGCAGTGCCCTAGCAGACTAGTTTGCTGACCTTGGTCCCATTGTGGGTCTTGAAATTGCCCTATAATTGGCTCCAGCCCTTCTTAACTGTGATCTGAGAGCACGCCTGCCCACCCAAGAACCTACCAGGACACATGCCTATCTGTGACCCTGGAGAGAGGCCTGAAGATCTCTGTCTCAGCTTTGGACTCTGAAACAACCCTGTGTCTTGCTTCCAATATTGGCATCAGCCCCTTTCAGTCATGGGCCAGGGCAGTACAACCTGTCCAGGGACCCACCCAGTGATCCAACAAGAGCCTTCCCAGAGACGCTGAGGTAGCCACACCCATCAGCTCACCTAGTAACAGGACCACCATCTATAAACCCTGAAGTGGGCCCTCATTCCAGTACCAGCCTAATGGACCAATGTTCTGGAGACAGCCCTGTGCACACAAAGGTGCCTTAAATTAAGGCACTCACATAACCAAGATCCTTGAAGCAATCCCATTGACATGGAAACCTAACAGGAAAAGATTTTAACTTGCCAAAGCCAGTTTGAAAAGACTAAAAGAGGTGTTTATGCCTTCAAATGCACAGACATCAATATGTAAGGCCACATGGATAACAAAAAAAAAAATCAGGCAAACAGAACACCAACAAAGGAAACTAATAAAGCTCTGATACTTGAACCCAAAGAAATGGAGATACATGAGCAGCTTGAAAAAGAATTCAAAATAATTACCTTAAGCTCCATGA